TTCACGTAAAATTGCCTACATTTAAAAATCTTAAGTTGTCACAATCAGAAAAGTTTTTCCTTATGTAGGAGTTTGTTATTCGACTTACATATTTATTTTTGATAGAAAATTTATCTTTTGTTTTTATTTCTTGCGTCGACGGTAGCATGACTTTCTTTAATGAAATTCTTCTTTCGCTTCTCTTTGTTGCTTCACCAGAATTATTTATTTTCAAAATCGTAGTAGATGTGTATTTCAATTAGACAGGGATGTCGGTGTATTTTTGTTAGCAGTATAAACATTTTTCTGATGATGTTCGTTACGTTTCACTTTTGTTGAAAAAGCGCATCGTATGCGACTGAGTTTGTATCATCATCATTCAAGAATAGATAAGCGTTCAAGATTGTCAAACAGTATCCTCAACCTCTATTTGGTTATTGCTTTTCGTCGTGATCTATCTTCTAGTTTAACAAGAAACATTCAGAAGAAAGGTTTTTGTTCCAATGAGATTAAATAATGTAGTTTTTTTACACTATTTTAACAAAAACTAATGAGGGACATCAGTCATTTCCTTTGGATGAGAAAAGCAGGAAATTTGAAAGAAAGATATGAATATTCGTAGTTTAAGTGAATTGATTCTACTAATTAACTCTTTTCATGTGCATTTATTTGGCTCTTGTTTTTATCTTTAATTCTGCATCCTTTCCTTTCTCTGTATTCTTTTTTTGAATTGTTTTTCTTCCTTCTGTTGTTGAAAATACCATTAGGTTACCCACTGTTAGATCAATGAGTTTTTGCTGATCTTGTTTTAGTTTTTTTTTCTTATTCTGATTCGAAATTTGATTCAATATCCATGTGAAGAAGCATCACTTCTTTTCATCTGTCATAAGAAGAACTCACATTGATTAGCTCAAACGGTACAAATTGTTGTACTTTTCATGCACAGATGTTTACGAGTTCTTTTCTTTTAAATTTAATTCATGAAAATTTCCTATTTTTTCTTCTTCCGAAACGGAAAAGGCTGAATTTTCTGTTGAATCGTTTAAATTGCTTCTTCACTTCGGACTTTTTGTCATGTAAGTATCCTTCTCTAAAGGATTTTATGAGCAGTGAATGAAGGATTTAGAGCAGTAGTTCTGTTCATTATTGAACTTGCTTTCTAAATCATTCTTTTTATTTCTCTCACCTGATTTTATTAACGTACTTGGTGACCATGATCAGTCAACTGTTCTGGAAATTTCTGGAATCATGATTACTTTTTTTTTTCTCTCGGAATATCTGCTCTATCTTATTTTGATGAATAGAAACTGTCAACAGAAGAAAATACTTATGTAAAAGAATTTCAAGAATTTCTCATTTTACTTATGAATATCCCACATGTCAAAAATATGTATGCAGGTTTTGACCAAACTGCGTCACTGCTTCTTAATAATATGTTATTATAATTGATACTTCAATTTTCTCACTAAATTTAATATGAAAAGAAGAAAAGATGTGTTAGTTTTCTATACACAGAAGAGTAGAAAAAAACAATTTTTTTTTCTTTCTGAAAAAGAATTATTAAAACAATGTTAGATATATTTTACTATCAATTATTTCTTGGATATGTTGCTTGACATAACTACAGAATTAACAAGAATTATTCTGATTGCGTTAATGATTTTGGGGACAGTAGGCAATGCAATCGATTTAATTATCTTTACACGTCCAAAGCTTTTGAGCTCATCATGCACATTATATTTTATTGCTGCTTCGATTGACAATATTGCGGCACTTTATATAGCAGTACTTTACAGACTTCTTATTGATGGATTTTCTATTGATCTTGGATCTTTCTCACCAATAATATGTAAATTAAGAGCTTATATTGGTTATATGTTTTTGGCTTTGTCACCTTATCTTTTCATCTTGATTTGTTTTGATCGATATTGTTCCAGTTCGCCGTCACAAGCACATCGTTCTTGGAGTAATAAAACAACAACTAAACGGTGTATTTGTGGAGCAATTATTCTAGTTTCTATTCTTTATGTACACATGCCAATATATTTTCAATTGCAGTCAAATGGATCAAATGCATTTTGTTATCCTCAACAAGGAGTCTATGATTCATTTTGGAGAATATTTTACGTAGTTATCTACTGCTTTTTACCATCAATTGGTGTAAGTTTATTATGTTTTCTTATAACAATTAATATTCGTCGTCAATCGCGTCAAGTTAGACCAGCAACAACAAATGTAGATGATCTTCATCGACGTCTTGATCGTAATTTAATGCGAATATTATTCTCACATTTTTTAACACAAATAGTGTGTGTACTACCATTTGCTATTGTGAATCTTTTAGGCATGTTTGTCAATAGGAATACGATCATGTATACATTTTTTATACGAATTCTTACACTACCACTATTCGCTAGCTATGCAACAAACTTTTATGTAAATACACTGTCATCTCGACTTTATAGAGGAGAATTTATGAAGTTATTTTTTCATTTTATGTATTGACAAGGTTTAGAAACGACCGAACTACTTGTGATACATAAATATTTAAATCTATTTGTGCGAAATCTTGATGTGTCGTATGCATATTATATAATAAACATTCTTTTATGACGAAATAAAATATTTATCAACTCGTAAGTCAATAAAAAATAAAATTATCTATAAATACGTCTTACATAATGTATCCTATAAGTGTATAGATAGATCAAACAACAATAAACTTTTTAATGTCATCTATGATTAAACTGAATCAATTGAATTCGTCCAATAACATACACTGTGATCTTTAATATATTCTTTGATGTGAAAAAAGTGATATTCCATAAGGAAATTGCTTGTTGCTATTGATACTGTGATGATGCACAATGATTCTTTTTTCACTAGGAAAATACACCGTATTCTTTATCAACAACTCACTCTAGATGAGTTTGCATGGAATGTACACTGTCAATCATGATAGGCATTATTTTATAAAAATATTTATAATACTATTTATGCACTCTAACTATCGCTTCTAAGGATCCTATTTTACACAATACATTAGTGAGAATAAACAACACAAAAAATGCAGTTCTGGATCATGGACCATCCAGATGTAAAAGTCATAATCTGTGTTAATGATATGTCGAAAACATCTGGTTTAACCATGTTTTTACCAGAAGAGCAGATTTTCATTTCTTTGCTTTTATATAGATCAGCAGTATGAAACAGTAAATATGTGAAGCCAGATACTGATATTGAATCAGATTACACGATAAAATGATAGTAGAGACTTCGAATTTTTCATTGATTAATCTTAAGTTTATATGAAGAAAAAACACCAGCGTCATTAAACTTCAATGCTCTTGAGGTGTAGAGGTTTCTTCAAACTAATCTACATTTGAATCCAAATAAGAAGAATTGTTCAGTTTTATTGATGATTTTGAAAAACAAACAATAGATTGAAATATACTATTCCATATGGGATTAACATGTTCATATCAACCATAGCTAAACAAGTGGTACAAACAATTTATTTGAAAAGCAAAATCTATATGTTTCAATCTTATCTCTAGGCCAAAATTAAAAATCGTGCATATTCTCTTTCCAAACCTTGATATTAATTTTCACGGCAGTTATTAACAGTTAGCTTGTAAGATCTGAAAAGTATTCCTAAGCATGTAATTAACTTAAACTATCGTCCATTTGAGT